CGGTTGCTCCGGTGGTCTTACTTCTTGGTGATGAATCCACCATCCCAGAGTTTTGTTTCCCCAATTTACTCGCATGTCAGATAGGATGCAAAAGCGATCCATCATATGTTGGACTTCTTTCATCGAAGCTTCAGTTGCATCTACCATGAGGGTTTGATCGTCAGCAAACATGGAGTAAACTGGGATAGCTTCCTTTGGAATCGAAGATAGTTGTATTTTTTGTTTATCTTTACGAGTTCTTAAATTTGCGGCCAGCGCTTCCATGATTATGACAAAAAGGAATTGGGCTAACGAGTCTCCTTGTCTCACCGACCTTTGCAAGTTGATCGACGGCGCCAGGTTACCGTTGACCATGACTCTGGTTGTTGCATTTCTATGAAGAATTTGCACCCATTTTCTGAATCTGAGGCGAAAATTAAGTTTTCCCAGACAGTCCACATGGTCGTAGGCTTTCTCAAAGTCAATGAAGATAATTGCTGCATTTCGTTTCAATTGTCTCGCTAGTTTGATTACCTCATTAATTAACAGGATATTGTCCTTGATATTCCTACTTTTAATGAAGCCTGTCTGATTTGGGTGTATGATATCATCCATTACTTTAATTAGCCGATTGGCCAATGTTTTGGCCACCGTCTTGTAAACCACTGTGAGGAGTGTGATTGGTCTATAGTTCCTTATATTTGTCTTTGCTCCTTTCTTATACAGGAGTGTTAGAGCCCCTTGACCCACAAATTCTCCTGTCCTACCAGTCTCCCACATTGATTTATAGTAATCCATCAGGTCCTGTGAAATATCCTCCCACATCACCTCCCAGAACTCCTTTGGCAACCCATCTACACCCGGTTTTTTTTCCTCCTCCATAAGCATGAGCGCCGTCCATACTTCTTCTTTTATGAGAGGTTGTTCTAACTGTTCTTTTTGTTGATCTGTCAATGATCTGGTAAGGGGGAGCAGAAATTCTTCAATTTCCTTCATTCTCTGCACCTCTGGTTGGGTCCCACACTCTGACCTAAAGAGATCCTGAAAGAAGTCTCGTGCGATTCTTGTGCAGGCTTTTGTAGATGTCAGCAGCGGGCCTTGATGTACGTTCGGGTCCTCTAGGGCTTCTATTGTTGATCGGCCAAGTTTTGTTTTGGCCATTGCAAAAAATCTTGTGTCCATGGCGCCTTCCACGTTGTACTTGCGAAGCTTCCCTCGGATCCTGATGCCCTGCCATCGGTGTTCCATTCGCTCCAGGATCTGGGTTTCCAACGTCTGTATCTCGTCAGCTAGTTCTGTATTCGTCTCATCTTCTTGTTGTTGGAGTTGTTGCAGTCTGTATTGGAGATCTAACTCTTCTGCATTGCGCTGAGCTGCGAGCAATCTTGAGTATTCATTGCACTTGCGGCCCAGGAATGCCAGGCCGTTGTTGAACCACATTATGTCATCTTGGATCAGTGTCTTTTGCTGGCACCAATAGGCCCAGACTTCTTTCAGATAGATTTAAAAGTGATTTATGGAAAGCAAGGATGTATTTAGTTTGTAGAATTCCCTCCCTTGATCCAGCTTTTTTCGGAAGGAGAAGATGGTCAGACACATTGCATGATCCAGCCCCGGGTGAGGGCTGCAGGGGAAAATTTCTGCCAATTACAGCGCCCCTTGCAGCTCCTCTGAGATCAGTATTAAATCAATACGTGATTTTGATGTCTTCTGTGACTAGCTTTTACGAAAGCAGGTGAACTCCCGCCGAGTCGGAAATGTCTGTCTAAATGCGTCAACGAGGTGGAGAGTTTGAGTCAAATCCGCGATGGTTCTCTCGTCATTCTCCACATAGAAGGGGCAGGCGGAAGGGATCTTCCATCTATCGAGCCATCGGTCTGGGGCCGTATTGAAGTCCCCTGCCATTATTATTGGGATGCCCACCGACAACTTTGTTTTGAGTCTCTCGAAGAAAATTTGTCGTTCCCTGGGGTCGTTTGGACCATAGACGTTTAGGATGCTCACCACCTCTATTTCCAGCATCGCAAGGATGTACACCCATCTCCCCTCCTCCTTATCCACCTCTCAGTTGAGCGGTTCCACCCTGGATCCCGGGGGGAGCCAAATGGCAGCTCCTCCGCTGCTCCGCTTCGAGGTATGAGCGCGGAAGGCTTGGTAGGGCCAGATCTCTTTGTGAACATGGTTATGCTCTGGGGTGTCTGCCAAGTGAGTTTCCTGTAAACATATGACATCAGACCAATCCCTTCCTTCCACCCCTCTCAAGAGTTCCATGATCACCCTCTATTTAGTATGTTTGGCTGATGCCAGACCATTTACGTTCAGTGAGCGCAAATCCAGGTCAGCCGTTCTTTCGTTGATTTTCCATTGTTTATCCTTGTTATATAGCGCGTCTATTACATTCATTCCTTGCATCTCTTTTTCTCCCTAATCCCTGCGAATTGGTTATTTCTATTTTTTTTTTAATTTTTTTTTTACATCGGCAACCATGACTCTTTGTCCAATAGGCCGCCCGTCTGCAGGGTGCGGTTTATCAGCAATTTGGTCAAGAAAAACCTAATTTCCATTTCGGACCAGGGGTCGCTGGCTTTGATCTTGAGTAACTGCAATTCCATCAGCATCTCCTGGTTAAACCAGCAAAGTCCCTCTACCTTTGATTGATCATATCTCAGATAGACATCCTTAGCGGACAGCCTGTGCTCGCCATACGAAATCACCAGGGAGGCTGAGGCGCCTTGTGGGAGGTGGTCCTGGGCCAGTTGAACTATGTCCGATTTCAAGAGTGTCGGGCCACCTCCCCACGCCGTGAGCGAGAGGAGGAAGGTTGAGCGACCTTTCATAGTGATTTCCCCGTGGGTCGCTTCTGGCGGTATTGAGAGGCCTGCTTCCCAAGAGTCGTCCCTGCGTCTGACCGGTATCAAGAGGAGGCCTTTTTCCAACGACGTCGCTGTTCCACCTTTGTCGAGTAGGTGACGAATCTTTTGGCATTTGCTTGTGAGGCCCAAATCTGGGGCCGGTGGCACTATGGGGGTGGCGCGATTCTGTGTTTTTTCCGGCTTTTGCTGTGTGGATGCTTCCGGCTGCCAGGCGGCCAGTGCCAGGCACAAACCTTCCTCGTCCTTATCTGACCCCCTACTCGTCTCTTCTGCAGTTCCATCCTTTTCGCTCCCTGCTTTTCTGGCCATTGGCAGGCACAAACCCTCCCCTTCTTTGTCCGACACCCTTCTCGTTTCTTCTGCAGTTCTGTTCTTTTCACTCGCTTCTTTTTTCTGGGGTTCCCCCTCCTCCTTCTTTCCCCTTACATCTTCCATTTTCGTCGTTGCCTTTCTCGATTCCTGCTTTTCTGCCTCCTCCTCTTTTTTATTCTCTGTGTCCCGGGTCACTCTCCCTTCTTTGATCTCCTCTCTCTTTGTTTTATCCTCCGCCGCACCTTCTTCCCGTCTGGTTTCTTTCTGGTCTTCGCCCCCCGTTGTCTGATTTTCTCTCCCCTCTTGTACCCGCTCCATTCCCCCCCCCCGTGACTCCCTCGGTGTCCTTGCTCTCATTGTCCTTGTCCTTATGAGGACCCTCATCTTCCTTATTCTCTTTGTGGGAGGAGAAGTGGACTAGGCTATCCTCCTTCCTTACGTTAGTGGCACCGCTCTCCTGGGCTGAAAGCGGACAAGGACAATGGTAAGGAGTTTATGGTATGTTTCTAGCCAGTTTACTCCTTCCGGTAGGCCATTCATCAAGGCTAATTGAAGGCTTTCACTATTTTCAAGTAAAGGAATCAAGGCCACATACGTGATATCCCAAAACTCCTCATTCCTGCCTTGATACTTTAATTGGAGGTTATCCATCAACCAGTCTGCCAACTCCTTCAGTCTGTCTCCCTGATTGCAGGCGGTCGCATTTTCTTCTGTGGTGGTTTGTTGCCCCTCCGTTTCTGCAATGTCTGTCATCTCTATTTCCAGGGGGGGGGGCACCTAAGATAACCTCCACCTCCATAGGAGCCGCTCCGAAAACGTTCTCGAACGGATCAATGACATTGCTTTCTTTGCTAGTACGGGGCTGAGAGGTGTCCGTAGCTTCGCTCGAGCCCTCCTGTTCCGATTCTTTCCTCTTCAGCACCTGCCATTTCCTTCCTTTCCCCTTTGTGGTTGCGCTGTTGGTCCCCTATGGGCTGGTAATTTTCTGCAGCCGCCCCCTTTACTAGCTGTTTTTGTTTCTTCTGTATGTTACCGGGTTTTGGTTGGGTTTGAACCGACTGTTTAGCCTTCGGGGGGGGCATTGTGCGCTCCTGGGAGTTTGTGGGGTGACCCCGGGGCGTCCAGTCACTCGGTGGCTTGGTGGCCCTGCATTGATCCCATCTGCCCTCCCATGTCCATCCTCTAGTCTGTCCTTTTGAGTCCAAGTCGTCCAGGGACACCCAGCCGTCGTGTCCCGGATCGACAGTGTACCATCTGTTTGGTCTGTGAAGATCTCTTTGCAGCCTTCCCGCCGTTGAGCGGCTGTTATTTGGGTGCAGGGGGCATGCAGATTCTGTGCACAAGTGGCCGTACGCTCTGCATTTAAAACACCAGGGGCGGAACTTGTGCGCAGTATGGATGATGTCGTCAATGGAGAAGGGCTGGTCCTTCGGGAGATCCAAGGCTAGCATCACGTAGTCATCCCTTTTGGCCACATACGACGGGAGCGGGTCGATGAAATCTACAATTTTGTATTGCTGTGCCAGGTCGTGCATGAATGTGGCCTGTACTTCCACCGGGATGCCTCAGCTCAACCCATAAATAATCTTTCATTATTTGTTCTCGTTTTTCCTCCGGGGTGAGTTTCTTGGGCTGCCATGGATATATGTGCACCTCGGACCTCTCCCAGCGTAGCCTTCTCCACCCGTCCATCCGCTGTTTATCCTGTGTGAATAAACTCAAGATCGTGAAGACGGTCGATGACAGGGGTTGTATGAGGAAGAATTCCTGCACTGCTTCCAGGCTGCCCTTCATTTCCTCCAATCTCTTGCAAATCCACCTGATTTTGTCATTTACCGACTTCTGCGCAACTTCGCCCTGGAATACCCAATTACTCGTGTGCTTTATATATGCCTTGTCTCCCTCCTCCAGTTTTTCGATTGGGTACGTTCTCATCAACGTTTTCCGTCCTCCTTGATCCATCACCTGGCTTTCAGAGGGGAGGAGGAAGAGGGTGAGGAAGTATGCTCTTGCTGAGGAAAGCTTCTTCAATGGCACTCTTAAGTCCTCTGTCATTCCTCGCTGCCAGTCTGCTGCTGACCGTTTTATGGTCAGGGTCTTCCCTTGCATTGTATTCCTCACCCGCTGTGCCCACGAGGGTTTCTCCTCACCCTTTGCTGATGTCTCTTCTTTCCTTTCCTGATTAATCTCTTGTTTGCCTGTGATCTCACTCTTCTCTTCCTCAGTTAGTATCTCGTCCTCCTCGCCCTCTTTCATCTCCACGTCTTCTTTCCCCTCTTTGTCTGATCTTTCTGCTTTGTCCTGCGTGGGGGTTGCTTCGTCTCTCTCCCCTCCTACCCCCATGTCTTGGTCCTGCCCAGTTGTTGGCTTCCCTAGTCCTGCCCTTGCCTCCTTATCGATCTGATCTCTTTGGGAGGCCTGATCAGTCGTCGTGGACAAGCTGCGGGAAGCCTGATCAGTGGTCGCAGACAAGGGTGCGGAGCAGAGTCCAGACGTTTGAGATGTGGGCAGTGTCCTGTTGATCGGTCGTTCATATGGGGAGATGAGGGACCGTCTACCAAGAGTATGTCTCATGGCCCCCTGGAAGAAGATTAAGGAGCCTGCTACACTAGCTTTTCCATATCCCCTGTCCATCGTTTTGTCTGTTGGTGTCCTCGATTATGGAATTGTCTTATTATTATATCCCTGTGTCCTCTTATTTGATTTTTTATTTGATGTAGATTAGATGCTTCAGATCATAAGATTTCCTTCTTTTTGTTTTTGCAGATTTGGTGAGAGGTTTCACAGTAATCGCTGGCTTGGCGGGGGGCGGGGGGGATCTGGCTATAAGGGGAAGGGAGGTTGAGCAGGCGGGGCTCTGTCCATAGGGGGAAGGAAGGTTGAGCAAGCGCGGACCTGTTCGTCGATAATCTCCTCGACTTCCACTCACGGCTCTGTCCCCGCCAGATTTCGCTTGTCCAATCCCAGGATCCTCTCTTCTTCCTGTCCACCTTATTCTCCGATGATTTCCTCTCCCCTCTTTTGCTCCATCCAGAATTGATGTCCGCCTCAGTCTGCGTTGGTCACCTCTCCCCTCTTTTGCTCCTGCCAGGTGCCCTATGAGGCTCTCTCCTTCCGGTCGTCGTCGTTGCAGCCCGAGCCCAGTTTAATTTTGTTTCCTATCCTTCAATGTCGCGTCCTCCCTTTGCCAACTTATTTCGACCGTACTCTTCCCTGACCTCGAAGTCTTTGCTGCATCCAAATCCTTCCACGCCCCCTTCCCCTTATTCGCTGTGTATCACCGTTAGCGCCCGAATCCTTCCACACCCCTCTCCCTTGTTTACTGTGTGTCTCCGTAGGTCGCCTCTCCCCGCTTTTACTCCTGTCAGATGTTCTCTCCTGTCGCCCGTCCCCTCCCTCCTCCGGTCGTCCCTTCCCCCGGCGTAGACTCTTGGTTGCTGTGTCTGTTTGAGTTTCCTTCCTCCCGCTATATCCCCAGTTCCGGCGCGCTTCCTTTCTCCCTGTTCCACCCGACGAGGTGTTCTCTCCCCTTCAGGTCCACGCCAGGGGTTCTCCTCCTTTGTGGTCGTCGCCGTCGCCGGCCGCATCCAAATCCTTCCCCGTCCCCGCCCCCCTGTCCATTGTGTATCGCCGTTAGTCGCCTCTCCCTACTGTTGCTCCTGCCAGGTGTCGCCCGTCCCCCCCGCTTCCGATCGTCCCTTCCCCCGGTGTTGATCCGTTGCCCTCTAACCTTTGTCGAGTTTCCGTCTTCTATCGTTTGTTGAGCTCTCGTCCCCCCCACTATGTCCCCGACACCGACGCTCTCCCTTTCCTCCTACTCCAATCCTGTGTTATGGTCTGCTCTTGTTAGTGTCTATGTCTCAATACTTACTTTCCCCTTTCCATGATGTAGTCGTCCCGTCGCTCCTGCTCGCCCTGCCAGGTGT